ATCGTCCTTTGCAGGTTAGGCAGGAGCTCGAACCACTATGCTATTGGAACATTGTTTAATAGAATCATAGAATAACAGAATTAAAAAGGACCTTGTGGGTCTTCTAGTTCAACTCTCTGCTCAACAAATGGTTCTCCAATCTCTTCTTGAAAATCTCCAATGATAGAGCACCCACAACTTCTGGAGGCAAGCTGTTCCACTAATTAATTGTTCTCACTGACAGAAAATTTCTCCTTAATGCTAGGTTGGATCTCTCTTTAATAATCTTCCATCCATTACTTCTTGTCCTGCCCTCTGGTGCTTTGGAGAATAAGTTGATCCCCTCTTCTCTGTGACAGCCCCTTAAATATTGGAAGATTGCTATCATGTCACCTCTTGTCTGTCTCTTCGCTAGACTAGACATACCTAGTTCCCACAAGTGTTCATCATATGGTTTAATCTCTAGAATCCTGATCATCTTTGTTCCCCTTCTCTGGACACTTTCTAGAGCATCAGCATTTATTATATATATATTTGTATTGTGGTGACCAGAAGTGGATGCAGTATTCCAAGTATGGTCTTACCATTGCAGTGTAAAGTGGTACTAACTTGATCTTGATACTATTCCTTCCTTGATGCAGTTTAGGACTGGCAGCACACTGTTGTAACCCAGTTGACAAAATATTCCTGTCACTGCATGCAGTAGCCATTTGAAATAAAGGGGTCTTCCTAGCAAAAACTAAACTCCAATAGACAAATTGGATTGCAGGACTTCAGCTGCTAAAGCCAGAAAACACCACTTTTAACATGGAGCAGGCAGAGATTGCACTGCAGTGGATTGAGAGTAAGAAAATCATCCGTTCTTTCCTTCCAGACATTGTTGATGGGCCACAAATAATAATATGATTAGTCACCAGAAAGTCTCTATCACTTTAAAGCAGTGTTTTCCCAACCTCAGCAACTTTTAGCTGTATGGATTTCAACTCCCAGCATGCTGACCAGGGAATTATGACATCCACACATCTTAAAGCTGTGGAGAAACACTGCTTTAGATGACCACTCAACAATAACCTTTGGCAAGATCTAAATCACTCCTGTTCCTTATAATATTCAGTTTTAAATAAATAAAGTTTAATTTAATGACAAGAAGTGAATATGATTTCATTTCTTCTACATCTTTATAAAGTGAGAACAAAAAAAATCTAAGGATTAAGTTTAAAAAGTAATTTAAAATGACCTAACCAACTTTCCTAAGACTCATTCAAAGCATTGGCAACACTCCTCAATATGCTAGAATGCCAAATGATGAAAACAGGGCTCCAAGCTCAAGAAAATCTTTATATTTCATTATCCTGTATTTAAGGGATATAATTTCCATTTTCCCCCATTGAATGTGTGCATAGCAGCTTCAACTTGGAGGAATTCTGTCCTACATCACAGTGCCAAGCCTTTAGAGAGTTCAAATGAACACTTTGAAAAAGTTTATTAAAAATCCTTCACCAGGAAATATATATTTATTAATAGAATTGTAGTGTCATACATATACATTTCTAAATTTAAAGTTTTAATTTCACTGAATCAGTCATGAAATATATTATAATACTATCACTTTCAGCTGCAAATTTCTGTGTACTCTACAATTACTAATTGAGCCAAATGCCCTAACATACAATGTGTGAAATCACCACAGGCCATATAACAGGGACATCACTTCTAGACACTGGCATTGGTGTTTTTTCTCAGTTTACTTTAGATGCAAAATGCCATTCAATATATTACATTGTAATTTCACAACAATCTTTCTTTTCTTCATGAAAAGTCAGTATAATCTGGCACTACCAATATAGTGATTCAGTTGTATGTATTTAATCAATAACAACCTTTTAGTGACTAAACTACATAATTCATGGCTTAAACATTTGCTTTTGGATACTTTTCCTTCTTCCAAAAAATCACTCTCTACTTTTTTAACCCAATGAAATGCCCTGCAACACTCAGAAACCTGCATACATTTTGCTTTTATGGCATGTTGATTATCATAAAGGAAGGGTCACTGAATTATGGATTTCAAAAAAGATAGGAGTGCTGTAGAAAGGAAGTGTGGCTATCTTAGTATAGAGATGAAATATTGCTTGTTCTATTGATAAAAGTACACAAAAACCCCTGTAAACACACATTATTTACCATAAGCACTACAGATTCAGCTCTCCATCACAATCAAAATAATCAAAATGGGGGGGAAAATCTGAATGTATTTAAGATGCTTCTTGCAGTTCTGCATCTGAGACTCAGAGCGCCGCTGTTGGCCAACATAGTTCCCAGAAAGGAGCTGGAAATCTAATGGGGCTTCCTGCCTTCTAACTATCCAGTCACCGAATGCAGAGCAGTCAAAGAGCAGGATTGTGGGACACTCACCGACCATGGCAGAGAAAAGAAAACCACTGCAGTGTAGATAAAACTCAGGAGAACCCCAGGAACCTCTTGATGCTTTCTTTCTAATGGGAATTTAAACTCCTCAGCTTACTGGATTGCACAAAGCACTTTTCACCGCAGGTGGGATGGACGGCAGCAGGAAAGCTAAGAGCAGATCTGTAAAAAGGCAAGTACGTCTCCTCTTCTTACTGTCTTTCGTCTGCCAGACTGTCTCGGACCACCTTCGCTATTCAATTCCAGAGGAAATGGGAAAGGGTTCCATTGTGGGAAATCTTGCCAAGGATCTGAAACTGAGTATTGCAGAAGTGGGAAATCGCAACCTGCATATCCTTTCTTTAGGCAAAAAGCAATACTTCTCCGTTAATGCTGAAAATGGGAATCTGTATGTAAAAGATAGGATTGACAGAGAGGAAATCTGTGGGGAAACTGCACTCTGCCCCATTAGTTTTGAAGTGGTGAGTGCAAACCCCATGGACATATTTTACATAACAGTAGAGATCCAGGATATTAATGACAATGCACCACATTTCTTAAATGGTGATATCAAGCTAGAGATAAGTGAATCTTCTGTACCAGGAGCCACATTTCCACTCAAACAAGCAGAAGATCCTGATATTGGGATATATTCTGTCCAGGAATATCATCTAAGCATTAATAAGTATTTTATTTTAGTAATTAATGAGCAAGACTCTTTAAACAAGTATGCAGAATTAATACTGGAAAAACAGTTGGATCGTGAAAGTGAAAGTACTGTTAGTTTAACCTTTACTGCTCTTGATGGAGGAAACCCTACAAAAACTGGAACAGCCAAAATACAGATTACAGTCATAGATGCTAATGACAACCCACCTGTCTTCAGTCAAAAAGTATACAAAATCAGCCTCAAAGAGAATGTGTCAAAGGGATCTACTGTAATACAAGTCAAAGCTACAGACAAAGACGATGGTTCCAATGGCCAGATCAACTACTGCTTTAGCAATATTGCTGAAAATGCGAATCAAAAATTTGATTTACATCCAGAAAATGGATTTATAACAATTCAAGAAGAGCTAGACTTTGAAGAAACAGAGAAATATATCATAGGGATAAAAGCAAGAGATGGAGGTGGCTTAGTAGCACACTGTAATGTTGAATTAAAGCTACTAGATGTGAATGACAATGTCCCAGAAGTGATTTTCGCTTCCTCATCCAGAGAAATTCCTGAAAACTCTCCATTAGGAACATTGATAGCCCTCATCAATATAAAGGATAAAGATTCGGGGGATAATGGGGAGGTCAGTTGCCATTTACAGAATGCTTCCCCATTCAAAATAGTATCAGCAGCTAATAGCTACTATAAGCTGCTAACAGATGGTCCCCTAGATAGAGAAAGCACTCCAGCGTACAATCTTACAATCACAGCCACAGACAAAGGTACGCCCCCTCTTTCTACACAGAAAACCATCTCACTGGAAATTTCAGATATCAATGATAATGCCCCTATCTTTGAGAAATCTTCATACACTGTTTATGTGGCAGAGAACAATCCTGCTAGCTCCTCCATCTTCAGCATCAAAGCTGTAGACCCTGATCTTGGTCGCAATGCTAGGATCACCTACTCCATCCTCACTAGCAAAATAGAGGCATTACCTCTCCCATCTTTCCTCTCCATTAACTCAGAAAGTGGCACCCTCTATTCTCAAAGGTCTTTTGACTATGAGCAACTCAGGGAGTTTGAGGTACAGGTGAAGGCTGAAGATGGAGGCTCCCCCCCTCTCAGCAGCAATGTCACATTGAAGTTGTTCATCCAGGACCAAAATGACCAAAGCCCTCAAATTCTGTATCCTTCCCCAGGAGCAGAGGGCTCAGCCTCCTTTGAGATGGTGCCTCGCTCGGCAGAGATGGGGTACCTGGTTACAAAGGTGGTGGCTGTGGATGCCGACTCTGGGCACAATGCCTGGCTCTCTTATCATCTACTGCAAGCCACTGAGCCAGGACTCTTCACAATTGGTGCCCACACAGGTGAAATCAGGACACTGCGGACGTTTCTGGACAGGGATGCTCTGAAGCAGAAGCTAGTGGTCTTAGTGAAGGATAATGGGCAGCCCCCACTCTCTGCTACAGTCAGTCTCAATCTGATTTTTGCTGAAAACTTCCAAGAGGCACTGCCAGAAATAAATAACCAAACCATGGATTCAGAGCAACAGTCTGAGCTCCAGTTCTATCTAGTGCTGGCCTTAACTTTGATCTCCTTTCTGTTCCTCTTGACTGTAACTCTAGTGATTATGATGAAACTCCGACAGTCAGGGAATCTGAAATTTCTTCCATGCTTTGTTCCCACTCCCCATTCAAGCAATGCTATTATATTCCCACCAAATTATGAGGAAGGGACTATTCCTTATTCCTATCAGCTCTGCTTATCATCCGAGTCCAAGATACATGAAATTACTTTTCCAGCACCCAAAGTTCAACCTGCAGAATATATTTCATGCAACCAAAATTCTGATGTTCTTCTGCCTACAAATGGAGCCAATGTCCTAAATTCTGAGATGGAGAAAATTAATTTGGTGAGTTTTCTTTTGAAGAGTAACAACTTTACGTATCTTGTTAATGAAATTGAAAATGTTAAAAGATTCTATAAAAGCTACCAGGTCCTTTGATTTCTGTGTAAAAATAAGGTTATCACATCAGTTGTGAAGGTAGTCCTTCACAAGCCCAGAAATTTCTTTTCCTAAGCGAGAAATTTTTTTGTGCATTTTTCCATCTTTCTTGCCTCACAGTTGGTAAGTGAATCACTGCAGTTGTCACCTTATTAACGTTATTAAATGAATCTGGCTTCCCCATTGACTTTACTCATCAGAAGGTTGCAAAAGGTGATCACATGACCCTGGGGGATTACAGTTGTTTTATGAGTCAGTTGCCAAGAGTCTAACAATTACCAGATCCTTTAAGTTCTGTATAGAAAGAAAATTATTTTCTGTATTGTTCATGCAGCTGTCACTTTATTATTAATTCATTTTTTAAAGAAAGATAGGCATTTCATAAATAGTGATAAAAAAACCTTAGAATTGATGGGGTTTTTGTAGTTTTTTTCTATTGAAAGTAAACAAGTGCATTTGATCATATGTAACTTTTGAATGAAATATCAACAATAAGTAATATTGAGGGATAACCTTTTAATGCTTCTACTATAGCAAATCCTCTGATAATATAGAGAGCATCTGAAGCATTCAGAATGATTCACTTTATTTAGTACATATGAAATATCTCAGTAATGAATACCAGTATTGAATGTTAAGTATTTTTATAAACATAATAGTATGAAAACACATTGTGTTTTCCATTATGACTAGAATTTGTCTAAAATCACTTCTGCTCTCTATATATTTATGTTAACAGATTAATTATATTTGAGTTACAGAGTAATCTAATCAACCAAACACAGAAGAAATTTTGTTACAAATTAGGAGGCATAAAAACAAATCAAGGTGTACATGCTTTCAGGGTTCCAAGTAACAGCCCATAGGTAATCAAAACTCCAAGGCAGAGTTCCTCAAAGTATAGATGTATTCAGCATGTCATATTGGCACAGCTGGTGAAAATATGAACTGAAGTCCCCCGGGTTTTCCCCACCCAGTTCAGAGTCCAAAGTTCTCCCCCACATTACACACATCCATCACATGCCCCAATCAAGTCTCTCTTCCCACCCCAGATGCCTCCCTACCATGCCTCTTCAAATGCTGGTGAGAGTGTCGTTGGTTCCCAGAAGAAAGAATGTTATTTTGGCTACATATCCCCCTCAGCTATCTCTACTCCCCACTTTCTTTCCCACAGCTTCAGCTAGCATCTCTGTGGCATCTTCAGAATAATTTGAAATTTAAAAAAACTTGTTACTTTACAACTGGAAGTAGATGCATCTGATGATTGCTTATGTTTCTTGGTGGTCAAGTGTTTCTTAATAGCTGCTCTGCCCCCAACTGCAATACAAAATTCTCCGCTGCAAATATTGCAGAAAACAATGTTATCCTTCTTTGATATGAGGAATGGAAATTCCTTATTCAATTTATCATTGAAATGGCATTTCCTCTTTTTTTATTTTTCCATCTCTAAATGAAATTTAAAATTTAAAATAAAATATAGAGCTACACGAACAATGCAAGCACATTCATTATGAATAAATAAAATTAATTATTAAAACTGAAACAATAACATAAGCAAATAAACTTGTAAATAAAATTATACATATTTGGAAATTATTAAATAGATAATGAATTAATAAAACGTGAATTATTGTGCTCACCTGTATATGATTGACTATTTACTGAGAAAAAGTTAGTCTAATGCGTGCATGTGTGCCGTGTCGTGTTTCGGTAAGAAGTAAACAAAGCCACTTGCGCACGGCGTGCACTCTCAAAACAATTCTCCTGTGCAAAGCACATGCGTCTCATAATCGTGTCTAGCCGCACTGTACCGAGCTTTGAATCGTCATGTCAAATATAAATATGTCACATCATACGCAACGGATCGGATTGGCATTGATCGAATACGGAGATATACAGATTAGTCTTCAAATATTGAAAAGGAGGACATGTAGGAGGACATGTAGGAGGACACTTTTCGAGAGATGTCAGAATTTACAAAAGAAGAACTGTCCTCCCTAAAGGAGGACGATTGGTCACCTTAGCATTATTCAATTCAATTCAATCTTTATTACAGTTATGGACCAACACAAAAAAATTAAACATTAAAATAAAATAAAACAAAACTGAACAGAATAGAACGGGGCATAGTAAATAATATATTACAATTGATGGAGAAATCAGCGGCTGACCAGTCTGCCTAATTTTATAGACAGTGTAACAAAACTTAGCTACATTCAGAGAATCATACTGATCCAACAATAAAAGTTTAGATAAAAATAATCAGAGTTTCTGGGGATATTTAATCAGGTAAGAGTCTGTGAGTCGCTGTAGAGGGGGCAATACAATAGGATATTGGCTGTACTTTCAATGGCCCCTTTTCCACAGGGACACCACTCATATGGAACTTTTTTCTATCAGCTCTCCAGAATTGCTCTGAGCAGAGTATTTACAGCATGCTATAGTTAATGCCCTCCAAAATTTAGAGACAGCTATATAATATAAATATTTAGCTGGTTTGTGAAGTGGGCCCTGTCTGTTCAAGAAAACATTATTGAGTCAACATTCTTCCTGTCTTATTGAACTTCCTGATCTTTAATACTTTGTTTAAATGCACTAAGTGCATACTTATAGCCCATCATTAGGAACTCCTTCTTGGAGAGGCCAAGATGCTAGAGTTTGAGGAAAAGAAGCAATCATATTATTTGTCATTTAATCTTCTTTTGAGTCTAATCACTCACAATGATTGGTTAAATAATTTGTCCATGTTTGCTATAATACATGCCACACTTAGAGACCATACACAGTGCCTTTGTTTTGGAACTATCCGAATGCTGAGTGGGGTTGCAGGAAGTTATTATAAGACATCTCAGAATAGTGTCTGCAGTCCACTTTTCCTTAATCTCTCAGAGAGATACACAGATGTCACATTACATGCAATCATGCAACACCTCATACACAGAGGAAGAAATAATATAAAATATGCATATATTTCTGAGACCTGAAGGGAATCTATGAGTCAACTATTCAATCTATCAGGCACTGGCAGCAAAGAGAGGTTTTTTTATCTCTTGATTGCCAATTTGTTCAAAAGATTGAGTCTGAGAAAGAATTTTAGCTGAGAGGATGGAAGTGGGAACTCTAAACTACTTTAAAAACATGTGAAGTAAGGAACTGAGGAGCCAAGACACCTGGGGGCAGTGGCCACAGGGAAGGAAATTTCCTATCCCATGGACTACAGATATGTAAGAGATTAATTTTTTCAGGGATACTTCCAATTATTTTGATTAGATAGAAGAGTACAAAAATAAACTGGAAGATGGAATACAAGAATTGTAATTAAACAACTCAGATGGAGTGTGAAACAAACTCAAGGTAACCTCCGCTTAATTCTGCTTGGTATGAGCAGGGTAGAGGAATACGTTGCCAGGCTTCCAAGGCTCTGGTATGACATCCTATAGCAGTAGCGTTTCAGTGGTCCCTGCACTGTCAACTTCCTGACCTAACCTACTTGATAGTTGATATTTTAAGCTGGAAAAGCTAGCCCATGTTAGGACTTGACACTCTCTAAGTTGACCAGTTGACCAATATACCAACTCATTTGAAAAAGAAAATAAGTGTGCTAAAGATGGGTTTAAATTAAAAGAAGATGTGGGGAGTAGAACAAATCAGAGAGAGATGAAAAGGTACAATTCTGGAGAAAGCTGATTCAAACAATTGTAGGCACAGTCTTCTGGCATGGAAATAGCCTCCCCCTGAGCATTGCCCCCACACACCGTATATTTATTTTGTGTATGTGCTTTTCTTTGATCTTTGACATGAATACAATAATAAATAATAGGATGATAAAAATGTATTGGCATGTATCTAACAGTTATTGACTTGTTGAGATTCTATAGTGTAATGTTTACATTTTGTCAAAATTCCAATGTGGATAAAAATAGATCTAAACAATTTTCTTTTTGAAATGAATTCAAATGCAAGATAACCTGCCCCTCCCAAATTTTCCCATGGGTACTAGAAGGGTCTGTACCAATAGTGCTGAATGGAGGTTTGATTCTGGGGGCTATGAATAACCATAGACTAATGTTAATCACAAAACAGTTGCAAACATGATTGATTTACAAATGTTGGTATAGCAAGGGGTGCTTTCATTGAGCAAATCAACAGGAATCTTTATCCCATACTAATCAATGACATTAGATCTTGTAAGAAATAATTTTTGTTTTTTTACAAATATAAATAGGGTACAAATGTACAATCTAATAATGGAGACAATGAAAGAAAACTATTTACAAACAAAGACTTTACTAATACTCTGACTGTATACTAATTGTATAAGCAAGAAAATGATATTATAGAAAACCAGTGCAGAAAGCACTAGACAGTAAAAAGAGTCTCTATTCAATTTCAATTATCTATTCAGTTGGCTTTGTCAATGAAAAATAGGTTCTAATTTTAATGTTAATAGGCCATGGTGCTTAGAAATTTAGCAGTCATTATATGATTTAAATTGAATTTACAGTTGTGTTGGCAACCATCATAGGCAAATCTACTCTACTGACTACTCAGAAAGTTATCCTAATTTTAAGAAAATGTTCCTAATGCATAAAATACACTAATATTCCTTCAGGTGAATTGAAGTCTTCAATCTTCCTCGTTATTAGAACTGTTAGGTTACAACTAATATGTATGTAAAGGAGAAAGGAACAGAAAACAGATATTATTTTCCTTATTGTACCATGATATGGTTGAGGATAGCTGAAACTATGAATTAAAATATTGAAGCTATATTCCTAGATACAGGAAAAAGGAGATAAGTGTGTGATAAGGAAAAAAGAGATATGTCTGAGATACAAAAGAAATTATCAAAACAGTAGGACAATAATATTAGGATTTGCCTACTACTATCAGAAGATTGAGATTCAAGTATCAATAATGATTAATTCTCATGATATTCTTGGAGCCTAGCCTATGTGCCATAGAGTATGTTATAAATTGCAGATTATATTCCTGTTTTCCTGAGACCAGGTCTAGTGAAGACAGTTCTAAGCTGACAGGTGTCACATTGCACTGCACAATAGGATATAAAGAGGTTATAACATGAAAGAGGTATGTTACAATTAAAGCATCATAAAGAGTAAAAAGAAACACCAGAATGCCAACTCTTCCACATTTATTCTTGAACACCTCAAAAACGGGTGGTATGCAAGTATAAATCCCTTGCAGTTTTCCCTCTGACCTCAGGGTGTCGCTGTTAACCAACTGGGACGCCAAAGAGAATGGAGAAGAGCTGCTTGTTATACAGATGCTTCCCAAAGGAGGATTCCGGCATTTCGTTAAAGACAGGGGAAACAGCAGATCACAAATGCAAAGCAATCTTGCGAAACGGGAAGGTCCCAGACATTAAGAAGAAACGAGAGTGTTTCTTACTATTCTGCATTCCGATGAGATTTTGAGGCAGTCACTTTATTGCAGAGGAGATGGAACGAGGGCAAGGAGGGAATGGCAGAGCAATCCGAAGGCAAGTACTATCGTTCTTAATGTTGTCGGTTTCCTACCGGGCCGTTTCCGAACAGATTCATTATTCCATCCCCGAGGAGATGTCAAAAGGTTCTATAGTGGGGAATCTTGCAAAGGATCTAGGACTGAGTCTCAGAGAACTGGCAATTCGCAAAATGCATGCCATCTCTGTGGGCAAGGTGCAGTATTTCACAATCAGTGCAGAAAATGGAAACCTCTGTGTGAATGACAGGATAGATAGGGAAGAAATATGTGGCCGTATCCCACTGTGTGTTCTTAATCTTAAAGTGGTTATTGAAAATCCGTTAAATATTTACCATCTAAAAATAGAGATACAAGACATTAATGATAATTCTCCACAGTTTCTCAGTAGCATAATCCAGTTGGAGATAATTGAAACAACACAAATAGGCACCAGATTCCTTCTTGGGAATGCCAAAGATCCAGACATTGGCACAAACGCTTTACAGAATTATCATCTTAGCACCAATCCTTACTTTACTTTGGATGTGAAAGAGAGTCAAGATGGAAATAAATTTGCAGATTTAGTATTGCAGAAACCACTTGATCGCGAGAGTGAACCAACGGTTCAGATAACACTTACTGCGCTAGATGGTGGGAAACCCAGAAAAACTGGAACAGCCCAAATATGGATCAATGTCACCGATGCCAATGATAATCCACCTATATTCACTCAAGAAGTCTACACAGTCAATCTGAGGGAAAACCTACCAGTTGGGTTCCTAGTGCTGCAACTTGTAGCTTCAGATAAAGATGAAGGCTCAAATGCACAAATTAGATATTATTTCAGCAATATACCGCTGAATGCAAATAAGAAGTTCAGCCTAGATTCAACCAGTGGAATGATTTCTCTTGTGGAACCATTGGACTTTGAGGAAAACTCAGAATATGTGATGACTGTAGCAGCAAAAGATGGAGGTGGATCAATGACCCATTGTAAAGTAGAAGTAAAAATCCTTGATGAGAATGATAATGTGCCAGAAATTATAACTGCATCTGTTTTTAGTCCCATTCTGGAAGATTCTCAGTCTGGGACAGTTATTGCTCTCATCAATGTACATGACAGAGATACTGGTAATAATGGAAAGATTGTTTGTTATTTAGAAAATCACTTGCCATTCAAGATTCTTCCATCATCTGACAACTACTACACTCTCTTGATAGATAAACCTTTAGACAGGGAAAAAGCATCTCAGTATAATATTACAATCACAGCTTTTGACAAAGGAACTCCTCCATTGAACACAATTAAAACCATCTTACTGGAGATCTCTGATATCAATGATAATGCTCCTGCTTTTGAAAAAGCTTCCTACAGCATCTATGTGCCAGAGAACAATCTTTCTGGTGCCTCCATCTTCCAGATTCAAGCCTTTGATCCAGATGTAGATCAAAACTCACAGATCACATATTCAATCCCCACCAGCAACATTGAAGAACTTCCCATCTCCTCCTATATCTCCATTCACTCTGAGACTGGCATCATCTATGCCCAGCGATCCTTTGACTATGAGCAGTTCAGGGAATTCCAGCTGCAGGTGAAGGCACAAGATGGCGGTAGTCCCCCTCTCAGCAGCAACGTCACAGTCAGGGTGTTTATCCTGGACCGGAATGACAACAGCCCCCAAATCCTGTACCCTTCAACAGACTCCGACCTCTTTGAGATGGTCCCTCATTCAGCCGAGGCAGATTATCTGGTAACAAAGGTGGTGGCCGTGGATGCTGATTCTGGACAGAATGCCTGGCTCTCCTACCAGCTGATTCAAACCACAGAGCTGGCCCTCTTCACTATTGGCTTCCAAACGGGAGAGATCAGGACAGCTAGAACCTTTTTGGAAAGAGATGCTGTGAAACAGAGACTGGTCCTTCTGGTGAAGGATAATGGACAACCGACTCTCTCAGCCTCTGTCACTCTAAACCTGGTGTTTGCTGAGAACTTCCAGGAGGCCCTTCCAGAGATGAAAAACCAGATGAAGAGTTCAGAGGATCAATCAGATTTGCAGTTCTATTTGGTGGTGGCCTTAGCTGTGATGTCATTTTTATTCCTCGTGTCAGTGATTCTGGCCATTGCTATCAAACTCAGGCAGTCAGGGAATTCTAATTTCTTACCATGTTTTGCTCCTGTTTCCCATTCCACAGCTGGGGTCATATTTCCACCCAGTTTTCAAGATGGGACTCTGCCTTATTCCTACCAGCTTTGCCTCTCCTCAGAATCCAGAAAGAATGGATTTACCTTCCTGACACCAAACGTTCATATTGCAGAGAATGTGCTTTGTGGTGAAAAAACTGAGGTGCCTCTTTCAAGCAACAGAGAAAGCATTTTGCATCCTGAGTTGGAAAATAACGGGAAGGTAAATATAAATTAAAATCAAACTCCATAGATTTATCCCCTAGTAAACAGCACAATGCTACACCTATTATTCAGAAGGTAATTTCATTGTTTTTTGTCATTCTCTCAAGTAATATTCATTTTTAAAAAATTCATTTATGTTATTTATAGTGGAAAATACAACAAAAAAAAATAAACCTATTAAAAAGAAAGAAAAAGAGAGAAAGAAGCTTTTTTTTCTACCCAGGTTGTAGTTTGGTTCTGGATTTACATTGGTTTCTCAATTTACAGGCAGCAAAGCAGAGTTTGGCTACTCCTGGAGATGTACGATTATACTATTCAGCCAGCAGTAGTTGAACAATAAAAAATCTATGTGTCTTGATTAGTTCAGTGAAATAAACCTGTTCCTGATATCTCTGTACAAGAGGCAATATAATAAAGCATGGCTAACAGATTCCACTGTGTTTGATCCACAAGTATGTAATTGGTCATTATAAGGGATTCTTCTGAATTTCCCTTCCATGAGAGCAGTAGTCATCACAGTGGGCCAAGGTGGCAAAGTTGCTAAATATAGGTAAAGTTATATATTTTAGGTAACTTGCTAGTTTTCACATAGGGACAGAGATGTTTAAGAGAAAATGCTTAGGAAAGGAGATAGTTTATCATTCTATATTCAGTATCGGTGACTTTATCATTTTGGCTGCCTGATTAGACTATAGAGGACTTCCCAAAATAATCCTAATGAATTAGGTATTTGGTACTATTTCTTCTGGCAAGTAATTTCACATGCCCTTTCTCAGAATGTGGGATAATTAATTTGAATTGTCCAACTGAAAGCAATAGCAAGGTAAGTTCCTTTTTTAACACTGCAGTTCTGATAAAAGAAATTTCTTATGTCTAGGTAATGACTCTTCCATGAACTTGAAGATTTTAAACTGCTCTTATTTTATTTATGGTCCTATTTTACTTATGTTTTATTTATGTTGTATCCTGTGTGCATATTGCAAATGATAGTTTTTAATAGGGAAGGGAAGTTTATGCTTTTTTAACATTATTCTCAGATAGTATTTGAATTACTCTTGCAAAGATGTCCTGAATCTAAAGGAAATATGCTAATTCCCTTCTGACATAATGATTTTAGGATTATGGCAATACCAAGAGATATGGTACTTTTCATTTGGACATCAATATTTGACTGATATTAGGTGATCAGTTCTCTATCTGAAAGTATTCAGTTTTCAATCTCATGCATATTTATCTAATATTACATGTCAAGTGTTTAGATAAGAGTATATAAGTACTTTTGCTTTTTATTGCATGAAAATATTACCGAATCAAAGGAGATTCACCTGGTAACAATTTGCTTTTGCCTTTATATTAAATGTTTCTCCATTATATAGATAAACAATCAGTTCTAATTTTAAAAACATTTCAATAATCTATATAGTCTGGTTTCTCTTCAGAACATACTGTATAAATATTTCACCTTTTATTGAAGTCTATGTTAATTAATTTGATTTTGAGAAATCCCTATGTGCTCAAGCAGTACTTCTTTCTGGATATTTTTATACTCGAGGATATATTGACTATATACTCAATATGGATAGTGGGTATACCACAGCATCTAAGAGAAGTAATTTATATGTGAATAAACTAAATTAAAGAACTACAGGTTAGATTAACTAGATTTTTAAAATTGTAGGTCCTGTTGATATTCCCTTCAAAAGTGTACCACTCATCCAAAGTTAGTAGCCATGAGTTTATGATAATAGAAACAAAGAGTTTCCAGATCTAAGACCACAGAATCATAGTTTGGCCACCGTATCTAATCTAATATCTAATTTTAGCCATGGAAAGGGAGCCAACCATATTTCTGTATAATTGGTTCCACAATCAAACCACTGATACTCTTGAAAAGTTCCTTCTAAAATCCACTTGTAAGCGGCTTTCTTAAAACTTGTTGCTGTATGACAGAGAAAAGATCTTTATCTTCAGTTCTATTATATTTTTTCAAGGATTTGAAAAGTACTGTTATTTTCCTTCTCATCTTAATATTATATTCTTATAATTGTTGCTAATTACTTAAAGTCACAAAACCAGGCACTAAATATACAACTAAGGATAAACTTTTTGATACTTTTTGTTGCCTTTTTGTTACCATATCACACTTATTTACTCACACAATTTTCAGAGATGATTGTAGAATGATCAGACTTTACACTTTGTGAGCATCTTGTAATTAAATGAATACGAAACATTGAATTCCACCAATAAGAACTTCTCTGGAATTCTCTTGTTATAAATAAATTTCAAAAGCCAGCAAATTCTCTTTTATCAGGTTGAATGACCATAGTCAATAAGAATAGTAAAAAAATATTCAGCAGAGCACTAAAAGCATCAGTCAAAAGCCCAGGGGATAGCATTTATCAAGCTAATCTTGGTTGAGCTTGGCTGATCTTCAAAAGCAAAACAAGGTTAGATTAATACTTGGATGGAAGACTCTCAACATATCATACAGCTGCAGGCTTTAGAGGGAAGGTGAAAATATCCAGAAGAAGAAAACAACAAGAAATTTTTGAAGTGTTTCCACAAAAACTACAAAAGAAGTGTAGATTTTTACAACATGAAACTCTAGGCAGAGAAACAGGAAAAACCTATATTAGTTGAAAACAGGGCATTAAAAGTGTGATTATTCAAGATTTCTAACAGATGGATTTACATTAGTATGGTTACTCATTTTGTGAAATGGTGACAAAGAGACTTTGGTAGCATGATCCATGAAGAATTAAATATTGGAACTTTTCAGAATAAAGAATGACAATTGGAAGGGACCTTGGTGGTCTTCTAGTCCAACCCACTGCTCGAGCATACAATTTCAGACAAGCCAAGGTGGGCCAGCATTTCTGAGCTGACCTCTGTGTATGATCTTTGGAAGGCAAGTCACAGGGCAGTTTTCAAAAAGGAGGCAAAACCAGGAAAAACCAAATTAGATTTAAATTTGGTTGTCATAAAAATTAGTAGTTAATATTACTACTCTCCACACTATCATATTAAAAATGACAATTTAGCAATAACTTTTGAAAGGATTAAGTCTTTGTTGACTTGTATAGGACCTATAGCTTTAAATATTCTTTGAATGTGCTTTTCAAATTCAGTCTTCAGTAAATACCGTACTTTTCAGAGTATAAGACACACTCCCCCACCCTAAAAGAGGGTGGAAATATTGGTGCGTTTTATACACCAAATATAGCCATTTTTGGCCTCCCAAAGCCCCACCCCACAAATCCTGTTTTTGTGAAAAACAGGCCCGTTTTTTGCAAAAACAGGGCACACAGAGGCTTTGGGAGGCCTGCAGAGTGCTCCAGGGGGCCGGGGAGAGCAAAAACTTTTTTTTTCTTGCTTACTTCTTGGAAATCTTGGTGCATCTTATACACTGGTGCATCTTACAGTCCGAAAAATATGATAGTTCTTATCTTCCAGAAGAAAGTGAATAAAATGTTATTTCTTGTTGTTGTTAGTTGCGAAGTCGTGTCCAACCCATCGCGACCCCATGGACAACGTTCCTCCAGGCCTTCCTGTCCTCTACCATCCTCTGGAGTCCATTTAAGTTCACGCCTACTGCTTCAGTGACTCCATCCAGCCATCTCGTTCTCTGTTGTCCCCTTCTTCTTTTGCCCTCAATCTTTCCCAGCATTAGGTTCTTCTTCAGTTTCATCTTCAGGATCTGGCCTTCTAAAGAGCAATCAGGGTTGATCTCCTCTATACATCATTGTAACAATGTGTAGAAGAGAGTGAGGAGTTAAGGGATCTCTTTGAAGAGTATTTTTAAAAAAATCAGAAGCATTTAACAGTTTCAAAGCCTTGACTATCCTTCCAACTGTACCAGAATGCCAAAGGGAAAAATAGAAAACTTCTGCATTTGACTGAGCATCCTTTACTTGAGGGCTGTATTTCTGTTCTGTTGAAGGTACACAGAGAAGCCTGAGTAATTCTATCCTATATCATGATGTCAAACCTTTCCAGGAGCCACACTATATACTGTACTTTCAAAAAATATACTTTTAAAAAAATCCTCACAAGAGATAATATATGTAGCCCAAAGACTTCAGAAATCAGATTTCTGATGTCACATATATCCATTTACAGTATATATTTGAAGATTCAGTTTCACAGAAATCATGCATAACACTACCATGCTCTTTGCTCAGCTCCACTTTTCTGTCTATTGGACACTAATTACCAAATTGAAATCTATAATGTGTGAAATCATTTTAGATCACATATAAAGGACAGCATTTCCAGACACTAACATTTGTGTTATAAAATATTTTCCATTTACATATTAAAGGATCAATGTCAATCAGCAGACAGGATTGCAATTTCAGAACAATGTTTTCCTTTCTCTTTACAAATGGATTTAATAACCACCAATTAATTGTGAATCTACATTTGATTCACAATTACCTTTCCAGAAATGATTTTCAACTGCAGAACCAAGGTTTAAACAGCTGGTCTATACAGTATTTTGGATTATATAACTTTTTTTCAGAATTCTTTTTCTAACTTCTTGTCCAGTGAAGATTTCTGGAGCATTCAGAAACTTGAAAATACTTTGCTTTTCTATCACATGGATCATGCTAATTAAGAATTCCCCCAGTTATAGATTGCAGAAAACTTATGAATGATACAGGAAAAAATTGTGGAAGGTTTTTGCTTTGTGAAATTTTCTAGCAGATAAATTATTGCTTCTAATACTGAAAAGGACACAAGAAACAGATTACTTAGCAATCTATACAAGCAGTCCTTCCTAACCATACAAAATCATCTGCAAAATAGACACAAAGTGAAGTTATTTCTTTAAGATGCTTCTTGCAGTTCTGCATCTGAGACTCAGAGTGCCGCTGTTGGCCAACATAGTTCCCAGAAAGGAGCTGGAAATCTAATGGGGCTTCCTGCCTTCTGACTATCCAGTCACCAAATGCAGAGCAGTCAAAGAGCAGGATTGAGGGACACTCACCGACT